GTCAAACCTAGCTCACGCTTCAAGCAGCAGGCTCTTCTCAAAGCTATGCTAGAGAGTATTCCCACTTTCCTTTCCCACGGTGCCCATTCCCTGGCACTATCCTTGCCACAGCTCAGGGAAATGAGTAGCAACTTTATCCAACTTTGGAGTTGGCCCAAACTGCCAAAGTTGGGGCAGTTTGGCAGGGACTTGGACTGAGTGACCTACAAAGTAGGGCTGACAGGAGGTGAAGAAACACAGTGAAGGCTTAGGTGAAAGAACAAAGTGCTCCCCAATACCAAATGGCCTCACCTCAGCCTCAGCAATTTGTCTATGTCTACGTAGAGCGGAGATGTGGTAAGCAAGCTCCCATCCCGCACACCATACACCAACATGTCAAAGCAAGCAGGAAACACAGGTGGGGAAGTTGTTTTATCTGGGGGGGGGGAATGGAGCTTTTTCTTCTCTGTATAAAGCTGAAACTAACAAAATCTCCCCACAAAACGAAAAGCTCCCTCTCCCCTCACCTCTAATCTGTGCAAGGTGTGAAGGTTCGTCTTAGCCCACTGCACCTCTGGAGAATCGTGCGTGCTCGTGGGTGCTCCCACACACTCCCGTTAGCCAGTACAAATCAGAATTGCCCCAGGCGGTTCCTCTGGCCCTGAAGCAGATGCTGGGGGAAACCAGTTTGGACCAGCACCATCTTCCAAGCAGAGCAGGTGCAAATTGTTGTAGCTGTGTGCCATAGCAGAAGACACTGGTCTGACAGCTCCCTGAGCCCCCACCCAGTCCCCAGTACAGACCACACCAGAAACCTCCTGATGGCCAGCAGAGATGCTGGTATCTCTGTGCTTGGGAAAGGTTATCACACAACTGACTAATTATCAATCATATCACCTCCTGTTTTCTTCCTTTACATGTCCTTTTTGCCTTAGATTAGACCAGGCTCTCCAAGATAGCGGCCACATTTCAACTCTCGGCACAAGACAAGGCTACCAGTTGCACATAAATCATCCTGGCTGACTTCAGCATGTAGCAACAGACACTGATCACAATGCTGGGAGAAGCAATGCTTCAGAGAAGTTGCACAATTTATTGGCTCCACTCTTCTAATGTGTAACTTTTGATACTGGCAAAAATACAGAAGGTGTATCCTGCACAAACTTAACAAAGATCAGGCTAAAAATGCTTACACCAGCCCTAGAAGGAAAATTCATGATAAAATACGAACAAAAATTGGTAAGTTATCCATACGTTCTGATTAGGAGTGCCCTGACTTTGCTAATCACACAGCTTCTCATTTCAGAGAAACTCTATATTCAGGGCATGAAAACTCATGTATAAATTAGCAGAAATGCAAGAAGATTTGATGGTACTTGATTAACTGGACAGGAAGCACCAGAAACAAAACATGAGGAAACTGAAGCCCTTTTGTGATTTTAGCAGGCATCTAATAAAGATGGAAAAAAGCAGCCATTATACAAAACCCAACTATTTTTGGTTTGCTTTAAAGTCCCCTGTTTAGTGCTAAACAGGAGTCTTCACTCCGCTTGAAATGCAACAGGAGCTTTGTAAAGAGCCTTTGAACCAGGATTACTTCCACACCATCCACTTCAGCAGCATCACACTGTTCAGGTACCCACCTCCCCTCCCCAAAGAAAGCAGGTTTTTTTAAGTAACCCAGCTGCAGTCTGTGATGCCATCCCACCCCTCACCCCCGTTCCTGACCTGCACAGGCAGCCCACCCACGTGTCCCATCCCAGACCCAGGCTCAGCTGTTCCATCTCCCTGCTACCAGTCCCCAGCCTCCCCTCTCCAGCTCAGCTGCAATCAAGGCCCCATTTGTACCCTCTTTTCTCAGGGTCTTTCAACCACCTGTGGACTTTAGCAGCCTCTCCCTCCAAAACACTTTTGTTCCAAGCATGCTTACAGACCCATTTCCACCCTCAATTATTCTCTGAGCTTCTGCTTCACTCATCAGGTAAATCCTCCACTCTTCCCACTTGCCCTTCTCCTGTGCTTACTCCCATTCAAGTCCCTCTCCCAAGCGTACAGGCAACCAGAACCACTCCTAGTTTTCCAGCTGAAGCCGAACCTCACAAACTGGCATTGCAACTTTCCCAGCCTTCCTGGAACTGGAATCCTGCACTGAGATTTAAATTTGCCTTCAAGATAGACACATCCTATCTCAAGTGCCCAAGGTTACTACCATCAGGCGAGACACCCAGCTCTCTCCATGGTGAGGCACTGCGCTGCCATTTTAAAAGAAATCTTCCAGCTCAACAGCGATCCAGTGTCACACCTGCTGAAGCTGCAAAAGCAGCCAGTGCAATCAAAAGCCTCCCCCCAAAGACAGCAAGTTATCCTGCCAGCCTTACTCACGCACACCCATCCAAGAAATTCCGTTGCAACTAACGGGAGCCTTCCCATATACTTTAGCTGAAACTCCACTCTTTCTCAGCAGTTGCAGTTCATTTGTTCTGTAATTCAGTGCAGCGCTGCTTTGAAAACATCTTTCTGACTCCATTTTTCTGCAAATGGCATAACGAGGAATAATAAGCAGATGCTTCTGAACACAAACCCCAAACAGCAGGAGTATAAAACTACTATAAATGAAGCAATTAAGTAACCACAGTATTCATTGTTCATTGACAATCTTTATTAGAGCTGACTTCCCGTGTTTAGAGGTTTCCTAGTAAGTATGAGTATGAATCAAAGTGCTACCCGACAGTAAGAAATCTTTATTTGCACAAAAAGGTACAAACAACTAGTATTTCAAAGTTCATCCTATTTAGTACAGGTAATACCAAAAAGGCAAAAAATAAACCAAGATGAAAGACTAGCAGCAAAAAGAATTCTAGTTCTCCTTCAACAGTCTGTGTGCTTCCACATTCCTCTAGGAAATAGAGTATAAAGAGAATTCAATCAATTTATATATGAAATATCCTACCAAAAAATATAACACTGTGTAAAGACAGTTAGTAGTACAAAGTTGGGGCAGGGGAAGGAAAGGAGAAAATAGTAGATGTAATATTAAAAATCTCAAGTGCAAACTTTACTGCTGCTTGAAAATAAAAAACAACAGAAGTCACATGAGTATTTCCATTTGGCTTAGCAGCCAGGAAAATACAAAAAGCTGATTTTTTAAATTTTTTTTTAAAGTGCTTAACCACCATATCCAAAAGTAATGACTTTCAGACCTACTTAACATGAATGTGCTCAAAAAGCCACCGCTTACAGTATAAAAGCTGTCATTCTCAAATGCTGCATGTACAAACTGCCTTTATCTGCACGAATGAAAGATTGCTTTGAACAGCTCTCAATCATATGATGTCCCAAATCAATGTAATGCTATTAGAGCAGGCAGCTGAATAACTCCCAGAAAGGTGAAGTTTAAGAATAATAAAAAAAAAAAAGATTGTTTTTTATATCTAAAGGCAGCATGCCTCTCCCAGCCGCAAGAAGGTAACTTTCTGTAATAAGGAAGAGAAACACAGTTTAAGTTATTGTTGTAAACTACCCAGTCATTCACACGTTTAACAGACAAGATAAATACTTCTTACTGATAAAATACAAAAAGGCAATCAAGTGGGTGGGACCAATTGCTAACACGATATTTTACTTAATATTAAATATACTGTCAACTTGACTTTAAAAGTGACAGTATGTCCTAACTCAAAAAACACACAAAAAATAACAAGAACAACAAGAAAACCAATGACTTGAAGAGCTTTAGGACTGTTTTGTTACGTTGTTATATATTTATTTGAGCCTTAGTGTAAAGGAAAAATGTAATATTCTAGGCTCCAACGCAAGTCAAATACATAAGACTATTTCATGGAGGTTTTTGACAGACATCAGACACACAGATTCCAAGAGAAATTTAATTTTTTAGCTGTAATGCCCATTCACTTTTATCTCAATGTTAGAAAACACATTTAAAAATGGGATCAAAGACTCTGGCATTCGTTAACCTCACCACTCTCCCAAATCAGGACTATCATAACCAAGCTGAACCGTCGGTATTGCTGCAGCCATGGAATTGTCCGTAGCGCTATCCACCCCCGCAGTTATTGTATGAATTTCTTCGTCAGCTTTGGAATCCTGCAAGCTTGAATTTGTTTACATTCATCTATTTCACAGGCTTTTTTTTTTATTATTATTATTATTTCTTGAAAGTCATCAATTCCCAACACAGTATCTTCATTGTCCTTTGGGACAGTTTTTAAGTTAGAGAACCCTCTGGTTCATTTACCACCAAAATACATATTATCTAGAAAAGGTAACTTTTCCCCTACAAAGTTCCTGTAAACACCTCTGTAATTAAGTCATAGCGAGCTCTAGACCAGGAAATTCAGCATCTCCAGTGACTTGACTACCTCACTTCTCCTCTACAAAAACAACAAAAAAAAAGAAAAAACCCTTTATAATTAAAAAGGAAAGGAAATAACACAATAAACAAACAGTGAAGCATTCAGTTACCCAAGCAGACATCTCAAATAAGCCTCTGAAAATGTAACATTTGAAAAGCAATGACTTTAGTGGTTAAAGTGTGCAAATGCCTAAATATGCCACCTGTTTCAGAGTTAACTGAATACTGTAGTCATCAATGATTGCTATTCAAGTCTAGCACTGGCAGTTCTGTTGCTGGCTTTGGACATTATGTATTACCACTTTCTCTGCATATTTCGTGCCTTTTATTTTTTAACAGACACCGGCAGCATGACTTTAGAGTGGTATAGGAAAGATGGCAACTTTTTCTTTTTTAAAGGTTTCCTGTCCATCCCAAGTCTGGCAAGAATTAATATTAGGTGGAATTAAACATAATGTTTCACGCAGGAACATCAAATATTATTTCAAGTTTTGTCTGTCTATGAAAATCACCTCAAAAAGATTCAGAATCTCAGGTTTCTGTGAAACAAATACAATAAATATGGAAAAATACCATGCAAGGAAAGTGTAGCTATTCTATTGATGAGAAGTACAAAAGCTTAGAAAGAGAAAAACACCAGCTTCAGCCCGAGACTGAAAAAACCCACAGATTTTTCAAAACCAGAGTCCATACAGTGTCACACAGCCCTGCCTTGTCATGTTTGTTAATATCCTCGCTTAGAAGTCAGACGGCATTTTGTTTAACTTGTGTTGCTCTGTATCATTACACTAAACCATAATTAACTCCTCTTTTGTGCCGGCCTCATTCCAACACAATTGTACCCACTGTATACCAGCAGCAGTTCTCAGGTTTTGTTTTGCAGCTCAGCTGTATTTTTCTTGGATGTTCACAAGACTGGCATTTGACTGGATGCGCTTGGCTAGAAAGGGAAAAATTATATGAAAATTAAACACAAAGAATTCCGCAAAACTAGTCTTTACACTCCCTCTATTTATCCGACACAGACTTGCAAACAGCTTTCTGGTCACGTCCAGAAACTTTAATGAAAAGATATGGCTGAAGCTCTTTCCTACCCTTCTTCAGGGGACAGCAGCAGGCTAATAGTCACTATTAGCGCCGTCAGCACAGCTGCAGGCAGATCTGGCCGGGCCCCCCCTCCCACAAGAGCCAAGAGGGTCCCTGGCACCACCCAACTCTTCACAGTGAAATGCCAGCACCATCACTTACGCAAAATGAGTATCCGTTTCTTCTGCTTTGAGTGAAGGAAGCTGCTAAGATAAAAAACAATAGGTAGGAAGAGAATAAAGGATGAAACTGCAATCACTGGGACTGTATCACTGCAGGGAACAGAGCAGTTGAAAGTCCTGCTCCAAAGCTTCCGAGTGATGTTCATCTAAAAGAAAAACATAAGCAAGCCGTGAGAACAAGCACATGAATTTTTGCTGTGCAGCAGAGCAAACACTCAAGATATTCAAGTGTTCAAATACAACCTCAGAAAACACCACCCTAATAGATCTCCCACCAAAAGCAAGCAAATCCCTGGAAATGTAGAAACAGACAATTTAAACGATGCCAAGATTTCACATCACAACTTTTACAAGTTTCAAAACCAGACTACTTGGATACACTGTAGATGTTGCCACATGCCTGTTTCCCAGAGAGCTCCGTGACAGCCTGCGGGGATGGGGCTAATCCCATACTTTCAACAGCACTCCTTTGACCCAACCACTTAAAACCCCAAAATATAACAAAGCTTTTTCCAAACATATGTCGCCAATGCTGAGGACCCACAGAAACAGCTGCTGTAATGAGGAATCAATTATTACCCTGGCTAGAACAACAGCAGTAAAGCTTCACGTTAAAAGCCAGAAGATTAAGAGATTTTTTTTTTTTTTTAAAAATCCATCCCCTTCACAGTATCCAGAAATTAAAGTGCAGCTACTGGAACTGGAATGCACTCGGGTGATCAGGAGCTTCAGTCACGCTGCTGCTGCACTGACTGAGGACAGGACCCCGCAAGACAGCCCCACCACGCCAACTTCCCCCCCCAGGACATCACCCTGCCGAAGGCACTGCTGCCTGCACCATCCCACACCGACAGGGAAAAGGCAGTCCCTAGCAAGACAAGCACAAATGGCTCAGTAATAAAGACCTCCATGACCAAGTCTCCCTGTTGAGTATTTATTAAAATACTTACTGCATCTTCCACGTCGATACACAAGTGTGCGGCGTGCCCAGACTCACCGCCTTGCCTGTTCATCCTTTGCAAGTTGTTATATAGGTCACTCAGCATTTTGTAGGTTTCGTTGCAGTTTTGACATACTTCTGTGTAGTTACTTGGTGACAGAGACACGGTTTGTCCCTAGGGTTATAAAACTCTATATGAATGCTGGTTTAAGGCATTATAAAAAAAACCAAAGAGTCAAGTTTGAACCAAGATCCAGATTTCTAGTATCCTAGACTGAGTAGAGGCCCAGACAGACAAGTCGCATAAGAATGCAGGAGGAAAAGGGACCAACTCTAATTCACTGTAATAATTACTAGTAATTAAATGTTATTCTGAAGCCAGAGATATCAAGTTCCTTAATATTTTTTTTGTTTTGTCTTTGCCCGTACCTAACAACCATTAGTTTGCTACTGCTGAGCTATATTGACAAGGACAGTGTGCCACACTAAGTAATCCTTTTCGTTTGTGGCCTTCGCCACCCCTGAATGTAATGTGACACACCTGAAAACAAAACTACAATCTCTAATGATATTCCAACTCAGTAACGGTTGTACCAGCTACCCACTGACCACTGGGTTAAGTTCTTGTTCAGACACTCGAACTGATCGATAGGCCAACCCACACTGCTCCTGACCAAGGCCTATAGAGGTACATTTCCTAAAACTGTTACCAAGAAAAAAAGCAAAAAGAAAAAAGTTTCCTCAGAGACTGTCCCAAACCCATCATTTCCCATTTTTAATACTGAACGATCCCAGAACTTGGCCAGTTTCTGATTGAAATGGAATACGCAGAGTTTCTTAAGCTATTCAGGGCATTTTCTTTGAGGACAATTAGCACATTCATTTCACTAAGTAAGTCATATTGCCTTTGCAATATGGACAAACTTTAACTACCCATAATTTTACTAGTCAAAAGAATTGTTACAAGGATTTAAGGTAGCTGGTCTTTCTGAGCTAGTTTATATTATCAAAAGGTTATTTAAAGATTTAACTGTTAAGTCACAAGACAACAATTCCACAAAGAGATAGAAAAAGAGACTTACAGCATGCAGACATGCCACTTCTTACTATATAATTATTAACTATTGTGAATTCAGAAATTCTGATGTGAAGTAGCACTGCAATTACGTACAAAATGAAGTCAAGGTGAATATCAATTAATTTTAGGCTCTCAGTCTGTAAACATCTGCATTTTACAGGTCATTGCTTTATATGCCTAAAATTCACAAACTCACCAACAGTTTGTCTAATCCGTATCTGCAGTTTATTCAGCAGAAATAAGATTTTGCTAGCAATTAGAGGACTTAGTCCTTCCCTTAAACACACAGCATAAATACCTGAAGGTTACGTTCAAAACATGTCAGCGATTTATTGAATAAATCCAGGAATTCTACAGTAGAATTTGATAATCCCTCACTGTTGTTCTTTAAACAATCTGTTAAAGAGAAAGAAAAACATCAGGATATTCTAATTCCTAACATTTCCGTAGCCGACAAGCCCCAGACACTCCAATCCTGCAAAAGGAGCTCTCGACTATAAAAAGACAAGTCTAGTCAACACTGCGATTTCTTATCTGCCTGCCATTGATGTCTCAGACCTGCTGACCTAACTCTTCATCGAGAGCATATTTCAGAATTAATTGGCCTTGATTAAGTGAAAGATGAAGACTATCACCAAGACTTTTCTGAAGAGGGAGACTGAATTATCTTTGGACTTTAAGATAAAACAAGACATTACTTTTATTTTCTAGCCTGCAAATCTGGCTTTGCCCAGCAACAGTAACAGCCGTTACGTGAAAGCAGAAGCAGCAGCACTGGAGATGAAATGGGGAGCATCCAGGAAACTGCTAGACCACAAACACACTGGTAGAAATCAGAGTATAGGTTATTATTGTTTAAGAAAAAAGCTGACCATTTCACCAGCTTTCAGGGGAGCTCTGAGGTTTTCCGCCCAGTCATAGGCTGAACCCTACCACGTTACTGCTTCTATCCATCCCACCCCACTTCAGGTGCTCTAACCAGACAGACCTTTGAAAACAACAGCGGTTTGGGAATTTAGATGTTCAGCAACAGCAATGTAAGAGCAAGCAAGCCAACATCCTAGAAAATTCTCCTGAAAGAAGGAACCACCATCAGTATTGAGGGCCAGCATTCAGCTGGACAGCAGGCAGGCAGCACATGGATCAGAGGCTAAGCACAGCAGGACAGCACAGCCCACAGAGCTGCTCCTGTCCTGCCTTTCCAGCCATCACACAGCCCAGACTCACAAATGAAAACAAATGCTTCTGGGCTCTCAAGGGACCCTGCAGCAAACCCAGCATCTTTAACCCTCAACTCCATAGTGCTATTCCCCCTGTTTTCCAGCGCCCCTATTAGCCACAGCTTAGCTGTGAGCACGGCACAGCACCATCAGCGTGGGGACAGTGAGATACAGGGATAGATTTGCACACCCTCCACCCTTACAATGAAATCAAAAGCATGGCTGTGGAGGCAGGTACTGTTCAACCTGTAAGCATCTCAGAGTTACTAACAAACAAGGAAAAGTTTCTTAAGTTTTTTTTCAAATTGGGAAGATGGAGAAAAACAGAAGAAACCACAATGAAGCTAAGGAAAGTCTCCAGCAAGGTCTGTAGATCAAAGAAAACTAGCAAGACTACCTTTTGAAAGAATAGTCTAAAAGAAATATTTAAATAACTACTAAGTTTTCCAACAGACTAGTGCCCTCAGATTTTGGCAGTGTCCCTTACAGAATAAAAAGCTCTTGTACCCTTCACTGAAGTAGCTCTAGCTTAGGATTTTTGTGTTATCTACTGACTGTAACAAACACATACAATTCTGATCTGTGCAAATTTTAGGGGCTCAGTCACAACAGTAGCATGAAAGCTACAGAAGGAGTCACATACTTGCACAGTTGGCTGCCTCCCAGGTTTCGTTAAAGAACTCCGAAAGGGTCACAACTATCTGCAGCCTGTCTGAGGTCAAGATGCTTTTGGCACAATTGTGGCTCTCAGAAGAATTCTAGAAGAAAAAGGAAACAACAACAAAAAAAACCAATCAAGTGTTAAAAATACAAAGGGAAAATCTTAAAATGTATTTTAAGCGAGCACATCTAAACAATCCCAACGCATCACATCAGTATTTCTAGAACAGGCAGAGCAGAATTGACAGAACAGTAAAAATCTTTTGAACCTCCAATTTACACTATGAGCAACACAGCTTACTGCATATGGTCTTTGAAGACACACAAGTCAGTCAAAAATACACAACTGAAAAAAAAATAAGCAAGCACAGAGACAGGGCCTCCTCTGCCAGGTAGCTCATATTCATCCATTTCTGGGCTGCTGCCCCAGGAGCCAGCTCAAGGCATGTGCAGCCAGAGAGAAGGACGAGGTTATTCTCATTAGGCTGAAACAATACTTGAAGGAGCTGAACCAACAGACTGGCCTCAAAACAAACCAAACTCAAACAACAGAAAACAACCTCCAAAACCACCGTATCAACGTACTGTACCAGCAGCAAACTCCCCCCCGATGCAGCAAGTCCTCTGTGAAGCAGCGCCCGCTGCCCCAAGCCTGTGACCAGGCTGGGTTCTCACCCTCCCCAGCTGTAGGTACCAAGCTCATCCGTCTTAGCAAGCCACCCAACACAACCCATCCTCAAAGCAGGTACTGGCACAACTCTCACAGCAACTTATTGTCTGGACTGAGCTCATTAAAAAAAAAAAAAAAAAAAAGCAGAGCAACTATAAAAGCAGTTACAGAATAAACAGGAAGGATCCCTATCAGAATTCAGAACAATGTTTTTCTCCTTCAGCTCACTGATACGAAACCATGACCTCCAGTCAGCTGACTCCTGTGCTCTAGCTCCTGGTTTCTGGCTGCTAAATTGACTTAAGCACTTCTCAAAATTGCCAAAGCTGCCAAAAGCCTCTTTGATAAGTGACGTGGGACATACGGGAAAATAATCTCTTTAACAAGAAACATGTTCCTTACAGAGCTTTACAAGAGATCCGGTTTCAGCCTCTCTTTGTTAAAACAGGTTTATTTTTTTAAATAAGAAGTTTCCCCTGGAGGCTCAACTGCAGAAGTCAAATATTGCCACATCTGGCAACTCCTACATTCACCCACTTTCATTTCTACTAAATTACAAACAGATATGCAAGAAAGTTGTTTATGTGGGAAACTCTGGTTGCTTCATGAAGACCTTTAACTGTGAAACTTCCTCACCAGCTGGACTCAAGGGTGGGAAAAAGCACTTTAAATCCCAAACTGAATCAAGTAGACCTATATCATTCCTCAAATAGATTTGTCTAATTTATTCTTTAATCAGCCTACTGAGGAGGATTTTACATTTCAGACATGCCCAAAACTTAACTTGGCTTCTTTCACATTGCATTACAACTATTGTAGGATGGCAAAAATAAAAACATTAGATATGTGATTACTTGTGATCATGGACTGAGGTTGCAAGAGGTCACCTCCTTTATTTATTTGTTAGTTAATCCAGGCACAGAAGGAAAGCCAAACACTCTCTAATACAGATGTGTCTTCCAGACCCCATAATAGACCAGTTCTCCCAGGCTGCCAGTACTCAAGCACAGCAGCTGCAATGAGTTCATACAGATTCTAAGCAGTGGGATATGTTTGGCAACCTAACCCTAGCCAAAACATCATGCTGAAAATACCCAAGAGAATTACATACTCAACTTCCCACTTTCACATTACCTCGTCACTGGTCGGAAACAGCTTCCATATGAGAAACAAATAAAACAGACTACAGGTTTGCAAACTAAAACAAGAGACCACTGGCTGGATATTTGCCCTGGCAAGGACAATTATCAAAATGAACGTCCATGCGCTTTTCCAATACAAGCACTGGGGTGGTTGTGGGGAAACGGGAAGACAATGCATCAAAACCAGAAAGCGATACTTCTTCACACAACAGGTAACTAAGCTGTGAAACGGTTTGCAGCAGGACACTGCGGCACCAGAAATTTACCTGGGTTTAAAGAGCAACAGATTTTTCTTGTCAATGGTGATTCTAAATACAGATTCAGAAATCCCAAGACTGGAAGCACAATCCAGGGGACACACTGCTATAAACTTGCTCTCTGCTTGTACTCTTACCAGGGCACCCACTTCTAGCCATCACCACAGAAGGGACAAAAGTCCTTTGGTCTGATCCACTACCGTCATCCTCGCATCATCCCAGCGACTAATTTTTACAAATGGATAAACTGGATGAGAACACACAAAACTAGTCATGAACCACCTCCAACACTTAGAAATAAAAAAATCTTAAAAACATGATCAAGAGTCTGGAGGACATAAACAGAAGACCCAGCTTCAGTCAAGGTTTCCCACTGGTGGGGTCCACAGACTCCAGCCAGCGCTCAGGACTTCTAGTTTGCTGCCACACACTCCCATCAGCTTTGGAGCCACAAACACTGTGACATGGCTCCCTGCAGATGATGTGTATCACTTGCCACAGCTTCAGAGACCACCAATTTTCCAAGAAGCACCAGACAACTAAGCTCTGGCAGTGTTCCTCATTATTGCAACACAAGGGCCTGCAAGCCAGAGCATTGCTTTAGCCATCGCTACATCAGCAAGAACAACGCAAGTTTTTCCACTTGCACAGAGGAGCAAAGCTTTTTTTCTGCAGGTGGAGTTACTTGCCCCTAACCATGCCAGGAGCTGGCTGCACAGACCACACCACAAAGCCAGGCAGCCGTCACTGGTAGCGGTGCTGCCCAAACACTCCCAGCCTCTGCTAAACTGCCTTACACGCCCGGTGGGGCTTACAGCCTGGGCACTGCCCTTCGCAGGCTGGAGATCCGCTCACCCAAAACACGGGTGCCCTGCTCACGGCCTTAGTGTCACAGGTCATGCCACCAGCTGCACCCGGGCCTGGCCTAACACGCCGCCTCTCCTCAGCCTCCATGCAGGACCAGGGCGAGACACCCGCGGTCACACCGCAGCGCCGCAGGGAAGGGTGAAGCAGCAGGGCCTCAGGGTAGGACCCGCCCGCCTTTCCGAGGACCCCACATCCACTCGCGTACGGCCCAGCTCCGCTCCGGTACAGCCCTCGCATAACTGGAGGCCTCAGGAAACA